ATTTATGTTGTTCATACCCTTTGAAGAGAAAGCAAAGCGCATATGCTGGCCTTTTCAAGCAGCCTGGCTTGCTGAGAATATCACAGCATAAGGCAGGGAGCTGCACAGTCTTAAAAACCTCAGTCAGGAGGGAGATAGACGCGAGTCTACACCCAAGAGTGGGGACAGTTGGGAGCCAGAAGCCTTTAAGTAGGTGCCTTCAAGGGACCATGGAGGGGGATTACAGGTGCAATTACCCTGAAACTATGACAGGAATGTAGTGGAGATTGCACTCTAATTCTCTTAGGAGCTTCTGGTTTGTAAGGCCACTATCATAAGGCAAGCTTAGAATTGTAGGACTGCACTCAAGGCAGGACTAAGTATTATCTAGACCATCCGTGACAGGTGTTTGTCTAACCTGCTCTTAAAAATCTCCAATGATGGAAATTCCACAACCTCCCTAGGCAATTTATTCCGTGCTGAACCACCCCGACAGGAAGTTTCTCCTAATGTCCAATCTGGTGCTGCCTGTGGGCCTGAGGTGTAAATACTCGGGGCGCTGAACACCATTCGGGTAGTGAGCTTTCCTGAGACAACACACATCAGTTCTGAGAACAGGACCTTGTTCTCTGGTTCTTTAAGAGACAACTTAGCCATAATGCTCCTGGTGCCAAGCATGGGGTCAAACTAGGCCAAACAAGAAAACAAAACTTTAACTAGAAGTCTAATAAATTAAAACCCTTAATTAACTAAACTACAAGGAAAAAAAGATATGATAGAAACTTGGGAGAACCCCAGTTCAGCTCTCTGGGAATGGAGCCAAGATTTTTACATCTGCAGCAACCTTTCTAACTGTAGAAAGGAAGAAACTGAAGCAGTTGGAATTGCACAGCCCTTATATAGTCTTGACTCCAAACATTCGGTGCCAAGAAGGGATGCTCTTTACTGTTTTCTGGATGTTCCTGAATCTTTCTGGCATCGGGGTGCATAACCCACCTTGGAATATGGAAAAACATTTATCAAAGAAATTTGATTATGCCCATTTCACAGAGAGGTAAAATGTGAAGATCTGAGGCTCTGATTAATAAGGCCTCCATCCTAAGAAAAGCTTGGTGCCGATTGCTGCTGCTTGTGTCTATCTAGATTCATATACCTGGTCTGGTGAATTGATTTGTCCAAGGCCATATACTATCATGAGTTAGTGGCAGTGACAGGAGTAGTATTTGGGAGTTCCTAACTCCCACCTCTTTGCTTATTCCTCTTTTAGACTGTGCTAAAAAAAAAAAAAAAAAAAAAATTCAAACGTTTCCTGGTTGGGCATTTCCCAAGACAACTTTCCCATTTTCCTTTGGGTAGGTGTCAGAGTCCACATTCAGTCTCCACTGTTGCGGATGTATTGGTTAGTGCTTCTTTAGCAGTAACTCTCATGTGCTCCAGGTTCTGAACCAAAATCTTGGAGTCTTTTAAAACTCTAAATTCTTGACATATCATGTGCTGGCTTTTTGACTTTAATGGCACCTATGTTTTGTCAAGGCACAGTAAATCTTGTATGACACACAGGAGAAGTATTGATGTGTGAAACACTTTTCATTTCACTCTGTGACATTGTATGCACATTATTTATATATAAATTATTTGTGAATTAGTTCATTAAACTACAAATTTCCACTTGTGGTCAATGCACTCTGCTCAAAGCAAAGGTGGGGATAGGACATGGAGCTGCACAAAACTTGGCAGCAGTGGCAGGGATGGATAGGTGGGTGCACGCTGGAGGACCTAAGGCCAACTCTGGGCCCTTGACCTTCTCTCCCTTCCACTACCCTGTGTTTGCTGTTCCGGCTGCCATCACCTCCTCTTTATGGCTGCACCTTCCCTGCTCTGATCCAACAGTGGGAGTAGGGACACAAGAGGCAAAGGTGCCACACTGTCCCTTGTGGTTAGCAGCAACAATTACAGACTACTTCTGCTGCCCAGTTGGCTGTGTGAGATCTAGCTGGGCTACAGGAATATGTGATAAGGCTGCTAAATGTATGAACGTTGGCAGCCATAGGGCCTGGGGGACTTGGAGTGTCCACAGAATATAGATGTGTGTTTTGTACAAAATTGTGTGCATTTGCTTTAGGTAAAAGGCGTGTAAAGCTAGTATAGCAAAAACAAGCAAACAAAAATAACTCGAAACAATTGACCAAGTGCATGCAAACCAGTGAACTTCCCAACACAAAACACTGCTCTAGTCAAATGTTTGCTGGGAGTAGATTTCTGCTATTTACCACCCTTACCACCATCACTGAAAAAATAAGACTACAAACACCTCCCTCCTTCCCAGGTTACTTTCTACCAGAACAATCCTCTGGTCAGTCATGCTGCATCCTCCCATAGTCTAGATATTTATGAGAGAAGATTGCCAGACTTTCAGGCACTAATTCTTCCCACCGACACAGATGGTCCTCATATCCATTAAATGCTTGATAACCTGTTACTGCTGGATCAAACCAGGGGAATCACCTGGCTGATTTAGGGCACCATTGGGAAGATGTCCTATCATTCAGCAGACCTAGACTGGTAAATTAAGGTAGGAGCTTATGGGGAAAACAATAGCTAGCTGCAGCTATGCCATCTTTATCAATTCCCAGATGAACTACATTAAAATGGACTTTAGGTTAAGAGTAATTTAGGGTAAAATACATTACAGGGATGGTATAATTGTTACAAAACAATGCAGGAAATTCAGACAAGGTTAAATGTAAATCAAAATATGTTAAGGTACAGAAATGCACAGTTTGGGCATTCAAATAGCATCACTGCTGAGCAGAGTGAAGGCTATGAAACAACAATATATGTTTATGATTAAAGTATTTTAGTGTTTGTTGTCCCAGAATAAACTTGGTGCCATGGGTATGAAACAAATATTTAGAATTAATGGTAATTTTTACCATTATTCTTCATTACTGAAAGTTCCTCTTTCCACATGTCCACCGTCTCCTCTTATTATCAGTGGGACTGAGGCCACAGGCTTCCCTCAGTTAAGATGCCCTCTTTCAGAATAGCTACTACCTCCCATTGTTCCCAATGGTAATTCAGACAAGCTGGGGAAGATAGTGGCCCCTTGCACTGTCAGCAGGCAGAGAGGAATACGGTAAGTGGAGGAAAATGGAGTAAGTGGCCATCTGTGCCCAAGGACAGCCTCTGGCTTCAGTCCCAGCAATAGGAGATGGCAGCCGATAGACAACAATTCTTGGCTGAATTATCTGAAGTAGAATGTTATTCTTTAGTCTCTGCTGAAGGAAAAACTTTCAGTTATGTAGAATAATGACAAAGTATGACCATTAATCCTAAAAAATATTTTTCAAATGTAGTCTATACACAAGACTTCAGTGAGTTAATTATATGGGAAGCTTGAAGAGTCTGTTTTTTCATTACTGAGATCTTTTGGGCCAAACCATGACTGACATCAGCTGCTAAATTTTTTAAAGGACACATTTTAAAATTAATTTTAATTCAGTTAAATTAATGGATTTGTAATTTCTCAGAAAATTTATTCTATAACTCAAAGATTAAGTGCTGTAATTTTGAGGAGGATATGCTGCATTTTTTTATACATAAAGTGGTAGAAATCTTGCTTTAAGTGCAAAATTCAGCTCATTCTTAACTATGGATATTCGACCAGTGCCTCCATAATACTAAAGCAGAGTAAATCCATTTAGAATCAGAGTAATCTATTCAGTGATTTTGGGATCTCAAAGTGCTCAAGTATCACATTGAAGATTCACAGATACCAGGGTGGGAGTACAATATAGAAACCTAGATGTGCATTAAAGTCCTACACTAGAGTATCACAAATCTAGTATATCCTAGATTTTGCATTTGTACCTTCAATTTGGCAGAAAGATGTGGAAAATAAGTTGCCATGGAGCCTTGTAATAGCTGCATAGAGGATGCGATTTAAGAGCATACATTAATCCTTCCAAAGTTAGAACAAATTTAAGAAGCATAAATTAACAAACTTCTCTTTAATGTCAACTGTTGACCTATCCCACCGTAGTCTGTCATCACAACACAGAGGGCATGTTGGTCTGACAAGCCACATGTTCTTGAGGATGGCAAAATATAGTTACTGGATATTGTTAGCTCCTCGAATGCTTAATTTGCCACATGTTTTGATGCTACTGGAGTATGATGCTTATGTCAGAGTAGAATTTAGTGCTGTTTTCTAAATGTGTGCAGAAAATAAGATAAAAGAGAGGCTGTAGGTAGTTGGTTTTTTACTTGTATCTAAACATGACATTCAAATGTTAATTGGATGAATAAATCTTGTTCATTTTACAGACATGAAAATGTCAATGGATTAGCACTATTTATCACAGGATAATGGTCTTCTGACACCCGATAAATGCCAAGATGAAGCTACTTATTGGAAATAGATCAAAATATTCTATTGCTATTTGTCAAAAACAAATATTGATACAAAATTGACATGCTTATTTTCAAAGTGGTTGACACTAATCTTATATCATAATTCTATTTTAACTCCACAGGTAATATCCAGGACATAACAGTAAATACTGTATGAATACAGTTGGGGGAAAAAGTCTGTAGAACACTAAAAAGTATTTACCTTTTGTTTATAGAATTTTGTTTCTCATTCATGATTTGTATTTGTGAAATATTTGATAATAAAAATATTTTGCACTTATATATCGTTTGTCCAAGGAGTTCAGCTTTACAAAACATAATTTAGTCTCACAGCTCTTTTATAGTGTGTTAGCTAAATTATTCTCTCCATTTCACATGTAGGGAAACTGAGCAGCAGATAGTTTCAGGCATAGTTTTAAGTGCACATACAGATCAGGGTTTGAGCTGTGCTACTTGGGAATTACTGGCACAGAATTTGACCAGTTATGTTTTTGCTGTTGTCATGTCTGTTTTGATCTTCAGATAATCAGTATTTTTCAGATTTATATGAAGCATTCTATATATTTAATACAAGATCACTGTGAGAGTATGTATGTGTCTTTTTACAGATGGAAGACCTTTAACTCTAGATGAAATTTGGGAAGGCGTTCATGAATGCTACCGGGCTCGTCTACTGGAGGGGCCCTGGGACACCATTACACAACAGGTTAGATGCTACTATTCTTTTACAGTATGGAATTCATTTACCAAGAGACTAGATAGCATTAGATTCACCGATTAAAATAGAAGAGGCTTTGTGTGTATTGTGCAGTGATTCATGGGTTGGCTACTAATTACGTTATCAGGAAGACTGAAGTGTAACTTTCGATTTAAAATAAACTAATAATTTGTAAAATTGAAGGACAAAGTTAGTTTGTTAGTCAAATAATCTGTTATTGCTGACTAATGTGTTTTAAAGTCAGTACTTAATGAAGTCAGTGTTTTAAAAGAAAAAGTAGCTCAATACTGTACTTGTAACTTGTTTTACTATCCTCTGCTAAAGGTGATCAAACCACATATATCTTAAATGGCAATAAAAGTCACTAGAATTAGTATTAGTGTTCCAATACAGTTATGGTCTTTTCTCAAAAATCCAATAATTGCCCTCTAGAAAATGGTCTAGATCAGGGGCGGGCAAACTTTTTGGCCTGAGGGCCACATTGGGTTTCAGAAATTGTATGGAGGGCCGGTTAGGGGAGGCTGTGCCTCCCCAAACAGCCAGGCGTGGCCCGGCCCTGCCCCCCTGCTTCTTGCCCCCTGACGGACCCCCCGCCCGGGGACCCCTGCCCCATTCCCCCCCCCACCGCTCCCTGTCCCCTGACCGCCCCCGGAATCCCTGCCCCTGACTGCCCCCCCGCCGCCCCATCCAACCCCTCCTCTCATTCTTGACTGCCCGCCCGGGACCCTTGCCCCATCCAACCCCCCCTCTCTTTCCTGACTGCCCCCCTAGGACCTCTGCCCCCATTCAACCCGTTCCCCGCCCTCTGACCGCCCCGACCCCTATTCACACCCCTGCCCCTGACCACCACCCTGAACTCCCCTGCCCCCTTACTGCGCTGCCTGGAGCACTGGGGGCTGGCAGCGCTACAGCCGCGCCACCCGGCTGGAGCCATCCATGCCACCGTGCAGCACAGAGCACCGAGTTAGGCCAGGCTCTGCAGCTACGCTGCCCCAGGAGCTCGCAGCCCTGCCACCCAGAGCATTGCGCCAGCGGTGCAGTTAGCTGAGGCTGCGGGGAAGGGGGAACAGCTGGGGAGGGGCCGGGGGCTAGCCTCCGGGGCCGGGCAGGAGGGTCCCGCAGGCTGAATATGGCCAGTGGGTCGTAGTTTGCCCACCTCTGGTCTAGATTGTGCATGACAAGGATGGACCTTGTGGTAAGGCTCTAAGCAGGACTCAGGAGATCTGGATTCAGTTTCTGGCTTTGCCACAGGCCTCCTATATAACCTTGGACATGTTATTTAGTGTCTGTATTATTGTAGAATTTCCATGTCTCAGTTCCCACTGTAGTAATAGGATACTACTACTTGCTACCTCATCCCCACCTCCACCCCAGCCTTTTTTCTGTCTTGTCTATTTAAAGTGTAAACTCTTCAGGGCAAGGACTCTCTCTTACTCTGTGTTTGTACAGTGCCTAGCTCAGTGAAGTTCTGATCTCAGCTGGGGCCTCTAGATGCTATCATAATACAAGTAACAAACAATGAATCACATTCATAAAAGATGCACAGTCATGGGAATTTGAGCTGTGTTCAAGTTTGCACAGTCCCAAACTATTCTCATTCTTCGTATCACAGCAGTGCTTGGAGACCCCAACTGAGATTGTATGTATGCTGTTTGTTGTGCACTTCTAGGTATTGCCTGTGAGTTTGCAGAATACAACTGTTGTTAATAAGTACCTGTAGTCAATGCATTACTTAGTCTGCAATAGACAGGTCACACTAAGGATGAGCAAATCAGAGTTTAATAAAATCTGGTAGCCGATAAACTGGTCTTCTCCACTGGATATCATGGTTCAAATTGTAAATTTTCCTCATTTAAAGCTGGATAGTGACTAGTTCCGCATTGGGCAAGAACAATGCAATTAGCCTTCCCTTATGCTTATTTGACAGAGCTAGGATCACCCTCAGTCCTTGCATTTCCAGTGCACAAGGACCTGAGACTCTAATGCCAGCAACAGTGCTAGGAACCCCTTAGGGCTAGGGATGGAACAGGCCCTACACCCTCTGTACTTTCCAACAGAGCTGTCCTGGCATGTAGAACGAGTGCATGCTATAACCTGTAAAAATGTGTAGCAGAAGCCTCTGCTGTGTGCACTCCATAAGCAATGTGCCTTCCTAGCTGCTGCACCTCAACACCTCCCCTACCTGTGGGCTGTCGCTGAAAGCCACAATCAAACTCTTTTGTGAAAAGAACAGTGTATGCCACACCTACGGCTATATAGGAAGAGTAAATCGTAATACAAATGTTTCTGAGAATAAAGGAAGTTTCAGTGACAGAATATGTGTGTACTGTGTAAAATTAGAATAATGGAAGCCAAGAGCAAAGCTGATGTTTACCTGTAAAGGAGCAATGAAATAAAACTGCCCTGAGATACATAACACCAAATGGTGTGCATGAAACACACTTATACACACAAGCTTGTGGTAACAGGCTTTTTGGCTGGTAAAATATGCTTTGCACTGAAGCTAATGTCTTTGTGGCACCTCTCCAGGAATAATACACTACATCTTAGTCCAATGTCCAGAGTGAACTTAAATATCAGGGGAAACCATTTTGCAAAACAGAGACAGTTATAGCAGCAAGATATTAATTGAATATAATACTAAGGTGATTTCCTATGAAATGGGGAAATTGCAGAATGAGTTTAACTCTCTTTTCAGGAATAATACAGACTATGGTCCTCAGGGTGATGGCTCAAGGGAATTCAGACATCAGTGTGATACAGGGATTGCTGGCAATTAGGGGCTAAGCCCCACCAATAAGACCACTAATTATTTTGGATATATATTTTAATAGTTTTATACTTTCATTAATTTTCTGTGCAATATCTTCTCCCTAAGGCTGAGTTTGCCACTGGTTTAAAACTGGAATTCCATTGAATTCAGCATGGTTGCACCACTTCACAGCAGTAATGAACTTGGTCCAAAGTCTCCAATTGCACCCTGGTTGTGAAATGGGGTACTGATCCTGCTGAGTCCCTCCTTTCTGGGTATGGCTATGAGTGAGAGCCTGCAAGAAGAGCAGATTTCTATGTGCGGTGGTGTTAATTTTTGATTGATCCAGAGAGAAGCTGAGTGTTGAGGGCTCATTAACATGTGATCCAACCTCCTTTGGTCTGATTGAAAAACAATAACAAGGCAGTGGGGAGTCACTTGGGAGGGAAGGAACCAGTGCAGTTAGTGGTGTTGCCAACACTTTCACATATTTTTAGTGCCAGCTACCACTGGTGTAACAAACACATTTCCCCTTGTAAAACTGGGAGATAGGTATGCCAGACCAAATATAAAAAACTACCATACAAATAAGACTATTCACAAAGGAATTACAGAAGGTAATAAACATACTAAGCAATTGCCTGCCAGTCTCACACCAAAACAGGAGCTAGGACTACAAGAAAGTCTTTTCTAGATCTGGCAGTTGAACTGACATGCACCCTTCTCTGTCTCCTGTCTGCTTATCTGGGCTGACGCACTTGGTCACATGAGATAGATTTAACTAGTTAGGGACACAGGTCACTTGGTGGATGTCACTTGCTAGCTCACCAAATCAAACTGAAAACTCTCAGTATGCCATGAACAGCAATCCGAGAAAGTTCATGGTACTCAGATAAATCATAAAAAATTCTACAAACCATTCACCATTCCAACATGAACAAAATTTTTGAGCAAATCACATCTGGTTCACAATGCCATTTGAATTCGAACTAGAGCTAAGTTTGATATTTTGGATTCTGTAGTTGGTTTACGAGTAGTAGTAGAAAGTCATATCAAGCTTCATTTGTTTTACACATTTAGGATTTAACTCCATTTTAACACACTGGGGGCTTATATTCTAGGAGTCTTACAAAATCTTGCTGCAATACTTTGCACATATGTGTTGCAATGTCAGTGATTTACAAGCTGTGTGATTAAATGCAGGCATATATCTGAAACCAGCATCTGAGATATGAATCAGGTCTGTAAGAGCATAGCTGTAATTACTAGGATGTTGGCGCATATGGTTAAGGTAACCTTTAAACTAATTTCAGTTACTTTAGATTTATTATGGGAAGTCATGTTCACTTGCTGAGGAATTATCTTGAAATATTTTTATTGACTAGCCTGTTTTTTTTATTGCAATAGGCAGAAGTCAACTAGTTAATTTCTCATAAATAAATTAGCTTGATAAGTTGCATAGTGTTTTATAAAGATAGTTGATAAACTGTGATGATTTAATTGCACTTCCTCTCATAATAATCTTTAAATCTGCCAGCTGAAGTTCCAATGATTGGCTTTCTTCCGTACTGAATCTCCCTGGAATTTTCAGTCACCCCTTTTCTACATCATCAGATAAGTTGCTTTAACTGCTCCCATTTTAAATAATACAAATCAATTATACAAACACACAGCTGTTTAACGAAACTTCTAAATGTTGCTACAGGTCTCTGTGGGTATTTCCTGATGGCTCATAATGACATCAATTTAGCACACCTGGTAAGATCTGTGTGAATTGGAAGTGACTTAATGTGGCAATGACAAGAAAATTAAGTAGTATTTATGGATTACTGATGCTTTTTCAGAATTGTTGCCAACTCTAGTTTTGGGTTCTGTTAAAGTCAGTAATGGAGGTGCAGATGTCACATGATTACATCCTAAAAAGTTTAGTGTTAATTTGTTGAGTGTTTTCACAGGTATCTTATACCGGTATTTCCCTCCAGTTCTTATATTTCAGGAAGTAGTCCCTTCTCATCTTTATTAGGATTAGTGGATTCTAGAAATCCATTCCTTCCTTGAAGCTCAGAGTCTCCAAACGTAATTCCATTGTAACTTATCTTGAGCTGTAAGCAAACAAAGCTTTCCTCAGCTCTCTCTCAGCTGAATTCTCTATCTGAGTTTAAACCAGAACAGAATCCCAGACCTGCTTTTTGATGTGTAACCATCCTTGACAATGTTACAGCGTCATCCTTTGGAA